CATGGCAAAATTTTAATTGTTAATTTTATGTACATGTTTTTTCATGATTTTATATAATTACTCATTTGATACCAAAAGGATAGTTGTCCTTTTTTATTTTCCTTTTTTAAATAAAAAAGGAATACTTAAGTCTCTGTCTTTAGATAATTTATATTTTGAAAATTCCTTCATCAGATCGGGTTTGCGTTATCCATTATCATATTTTTAGATAGCGCCACTCGGCACACTTCGGCCGATTCATTCTTCATCTGATGAAGGCGACGGGGTCAGACAAGGTTTGTCGAATGAGATGACACATAATTTCTCATTGTGCAGTGTGTTTATAGAAGTTGAAATAATTCATTTTGTGTTTTAATTGGATTATATTTCATGAAATTGACAGGAACTATGACAGGTTAGGTTAAAGTTCAGAAAAGGTCAAATATCACCGCATGCCACAATTGACGAATTTCATATTGTGAAGGTAACTCCCTTTGTCAACATGACATTCAGGCTCAGATTTTTTTTTCTGGAGAGGGGATCAAAACTCAGTCAAAAAAAATTCCGGTCTAGAATTTCCTGAGAAGCAAGGGGAAAAAACAACAACAACAAAAAAAAATAAACAAAATAAAAACAATGATGATAGGGTTCATGTTTTCTAAGGGGGGAGATACCCAAAACCATCTTTCTTTTTGCTTCCGTGTACATTCCTCCCTAAATAAAACTGCAAAGTCCAAGGAGAGATGTTTGATCTCCCTAGTCACTCCCTGTTCCTAAAATGATATTTGATCTTGTGACTCCAAAATAGTACAAAATTTTCCTATTTGACTGCATATTTTGTTTCATGTGTTTATATTATGTTTGTCTGTTAATTTGTTTGTCCACAGAAGCTTTAACCTTGCCTGTATGTTTTAATTGGGTTGGGCTATACAATGTATGGCTTAAACATTTTATATAGGTACGTGTATTTATTTTTCTGACAAGACCTTTAATTTTGGTACCACCAATTCTGACCTCTTGATCTCTTGACCTTAACCTTGATGCTTGACCAACTTTTACAAGAAAAAATCTAAACTGTAAACCTTCCCTAGGTTTTGAATAGTTCCTTCTAATGCTTCCATGCAAGATGTGTATTATTGTGAACTTTCAACAGGTAATAATATTTTTGTGGTGGTCAGCCAGGTTCAATCGCCAGTGGCCAGATAGCTAATTTCGTAGAGCGCCTTACCGGAGTTTCAGGGGACCGAATTGTGGTATGGTCAGCTGCATTTTCTCCTCTCCAATTACATTTTTACCTTGACCTTAGAGTTTGATCCACTTTAAAAAATCTTGGCAATAACTTTTGATTAGGAAGTACTAGAGTTTTTTTTTCATTTCAGGGGATATTGAATTTGAATTGTATGTCAGTCTGTCCGTGTGTCATAATAAAGATCTGGGAGGGGGGGGGGAATTAGGCAAATTAAATCCGTATGGAAGGGCAGGTAATGTATATCAATGAAAAAAATCTTCAAATTCCACTTTTTGTTAACTTTGGGAGTTATTTATAAACATATGCGTACAGTAAAGATAACACCTTAATCAAATGACTTAGAAATTGATTGTAATTAACCCACCAAAATGGTAACACGCTTTAGCAACCATAAAAATGATGAAAATGGAATGTTAAAACTGTGTTTTTGTATAGAGTGTGTCTTCGTACCATTTTCTGTAAACAAATAATGAAAGAGTACGTAAGGATGTATTTCTCACCATTTTCCAAAAAAGACCCATTCAGAATAAAGTTAGTTTACCGACTTAGATTTTGGAACATATTCTAAAAAAACTCCAAGTCTAATTGCGTGTTTGCTATACATATAGAACTGGTTTTTTAATTTAAAAGTAATGTATGTGACTCAGTGGTCAAAGCTGCAGTGTTGAAGTACCCAGTTATATGTCGCGAGTGTTCGAATCACGATTTTTTTTATTCAGGTTGAAATTGAGATGATTATATGTTTCCACTAATAACAAACTGAATAAATAAGATATTAAATTCATTTACGGTCAATTAATATATTTCCTATAATAAACAAGTTTTCAAGATATAAAACATTTTGAATGCATTTAGTTCTAGACTCCATTGCACGATCGAAATGTAAACATGTAGACCGGCACGATATGCTGTTCAGTATGCAAAAATAGATGAAAGGAAACGTAAAGCGGTACCATCTCCCTACCCCTGAAAACATGTTTGATAGAACAATTAACACGCAGTATGAAAAGCATCAAATGTTAAAAAAATACTGTAAAAATTACTGCAAGGATTAAAAAATATAGATATTGTAATTTTAAAACAAAATTCTATACAAAGTTTAAATGTTTAGGTTAATCGCACGACTATGGCAAGTCAATCATTGAAATATTCGATTTTTTCCCATTTCTATTGTAAAATTTTTCATTTGTATAGTCTAATTTTTATTTGCATGGTATAAATTTTCATTTGCATTGTATAATTTTTCATTTATATTGTATTATTTTTCATTTATATTTTTAAAAAAAACATTAAATACAGGTTACGGAGAGACATGTTGCCGTTATAGAAAATTTGACTATTCAGTTCAAGGTCAGTATTTGGTGAATCCTTTAGTCGTTATAATGACCTTCCAGAGCAAAAATAACCCATCATTGTGTCGTGTATCAGTTGACGTTTTTCATTCCAAATGATACTCATTTTACACTAACTTTGACTACAGAATATCCGTCTACCGGACGCAATTTTTCCCATCTCTGGAATTTCGGGAGGGGGGGGGGATCCGTGATTCATGCTCTGTCCAGGAATTTATTTAGATCAATCACACTCAAGTATCTCTGTTGGTGAACAGACTCTCCCCGAGGATACTTGTATCTGATATACATTTAATCTACTGAACAAGTATCTCTGTAGGTGGACAGACTCTCCCCGAGGATACTTGTCTCTGATATACATTCAACCAAGGATATTAAAAATGTAAACGAATCCATACTGACTGACAAGGTCCAGTATAAAAAGGGTGTTTAACTTTCAAATCTGCAAAATGAACAAGCCCTGACAGAATGATTGATCCCAGTCAGATGCTTGGGAAGTGGGGGGGGGGGGCATTTAGATTAGTATATACAGTCAACAAATCGCCAGTTAGGTATATGTACATGCATAAAAACAAACAAAACCTTTACTTGTATTACGAAATAAGTAACAAGTATATAAACTTCAATAGAAATTGAAGTGGGTCGGTCACGTGATCAAATCCTGTGAAGGCCGAAGGCCTTCTCAGAAGGTTTGATCACTTACCGACCCACTTCAATTCCCATTGAAGTTTATAGACTTGTTATTTATTACTTATATATACATTTGAGACAGACAATTGAATACATTCGAATATAAATTATTGCACTAACCGTCCGTCGTAGATTTTGAAAAATGACGCGAGGTGTAAATCGGCTTGAATGGCGGTTACGTTTCGAATTCACAAGGCTAAGGATTTAATTTTTAAGGGACATTCAGGTTACATCCCATGTATATAGATAGGTATACACTAGGCAGCGTCGTTTTAGCGGAGCTTCTCGTCCGCTTTGATTAAGCTCCACCCAACACTAACCTTTCTTACAGAGAACTGACTGGTTTGAAATCGCAGCCTTTAAGATTGATATGCTAAACGAACGTTATAATTTCAGATATTTGAAATGTACATGTAGAAGCCTAAGAGGTAGTCCAAGGTTTTAGAGACGGACTGGGCTCGGGGAAGGTTTGCATATAAGCAGTTGGCGTTTAAAAAAGAAAAGTAACCTTGAATTATGCCTTTGCATTACTAAATAATTCCTCAACGCTTTTAGTATATAAATACATTATGATCCTTGAAATTTTTTCAATCAGATTTTATCCTTGAGTATTATATAAACTGAGGTAATTTAAAAAAATATTCAAAGCAAAATAAAAAGAAGGAAGTTTTGCAAAATTACATATGCACTACTTCTATTACATATCATGCATTTGTTTTGATATATGGCGGGAATGTGTGTAGAGCTTATTCATTAATAGGCCAACAACTTGATACTCGTGACCAGTGTTTGCAAACTATTTTGAATACTCCAATTTATGTACTTTTATTTTATTTTAATTTATTTTGCTTTTCCTCATAAAATTCACCTGGCTTGGTATATTTTTCTAAAGTTTATATTACACTTTTAGCACCACTCTAACATATTCTGAATTTTTTTTCATCTGTAAACCTTTACTGAGTGTGTTTTATCCATTTTTATAATTTTGTTGAAATATTACTGATAATTTCCAAGTCTATTTAATTTTCCAATTCTTAAGAGAAAGAATTATAAGAATTATCCACTTTTCTAAAGTTGTGACATGATATTAAGTCTCCTCCAAAGATACAATTTGTTTGTATCATCTGACCTTAAATACTAGAATTAGTAGCATTTCATGGAGTAGATCTACTTTCCCCTCAGTTCTCACTATCACCGTGCAAAGTAACAAAACAATAGTGTCTCGGCAAAATACCGAAAATCGGTCTACTGAATCCATTCTTTGGCCTAAAGGCGGGTTTGACAAAGATTATTTTCTCCTTCTGCGCAATTTGTCCCATCTCTGGAGTCCTTGTTTTATACCCTGTCCCACAGCTGACTTAGTAGATGAAAACAGAAATAAATCAATTTTACTCCAGTCTGTAAAAGGGCTACCTGGTACTACTTATCTTTTGAAAACTATTTTTATTGTAGAATTTGTTGTGTTCATGGTGGATGGAGGCATTCTTTTGGACCCCTGAAATGTGTTCATTTATTGCTTAATAACTTAGATTGCACAGCATGAAAAGTCGCGTTTAATATAATTTAATAAATTTGTTTACTCCAGTAAATTTCTTGTATTGAATTTAATTTATGTATAACGGTACATTTTACATGAAATATAGTGTGATATAATTAACTACAGCTTTCAAATAAGTATAATTATATTTAATGCAAAATACGTCAGGAATAATATAGTTTAATAGAGATTATACGTTTCGTTTAAGAATATCGACATGTAAAAGTAAATATGCTTAAACTTTAAGTTTAAGTATGTTTTTGTTATTTTAAATATGTCATAAATATTAATTCTTTATTTTAATCAAAATAAAAGATTGTTTACAGTTTTATTATTGCAAAATAACAAAATCATTTACATTAAACTTCCGACGTTGTAATGTTGGCCCGACATTAATGAACCGTCAATGTTGCTACGTAAACTTATGTTGAAACATTTTTTAATTAAAAAAAATATTTATTTATTTTAATTTTTATTTATTCATTTTTAATTATTTAACCCTTATGTAGATTTTCAAAACTGTGGAATATAACTTAGATTTTTTTTCACTAAAACTGTCGACTAATACTGTAGTACAATTACATCGGGATCGAAGTCGAGCTCGAAATGCAATTAATTTAAACAACACACCGCGCCGAAATTCAAGTTTTTTTTAGGTTCCACGCAGCCATGTTGAACTTGATCATGATGTTGTACAGAAGCTAAGTGCGAAAGAGGGTGTCGCGAAAAGGAGAAGTATGATTAGCTTTGGATGGAACTTCTGTTTTGACAGAAGATGAAGACATTTTACGACCCTGTACTGCGGTAGGAACAATGTACAAAATTTTATCATGTGTCCTTGAATGAATGATTATCTTCTGCTACTGACAATGCTACTGTTCCTTAGTCTGGGCACTACACATAAATTGCCTGACCGTAAAAACGTTTGAGCAAGCACTATTTAAATTTTGCAATTATTATCTTTTAAACATCTCTCATAAAGATGGATTTTAACCAGAATTTCCTCGTTTGGGATTGGTTCAGGAATTTTAGTGTTCCTCTGTTCAGCATTTACAAAGTATGTTGTACAATGTAAAAAAAATATATTTACTTTTAATGCATGTTCAAGGATCATGTTCAGCACTTATTTTGATTATTTAATAGTTGCAGTGGACTGTGCCTGAGACGATTCCCCACAGCGCCGGCGTATATAGTCAGCTTGTGAAAATGGTGAGAACCATGCAGCTCAAATTTTCATATAACACATATAACGTAGCATTATTTTTTAGTAACTTGTATATTTTAGCATAAGACTATAAAAAAAAATATTGCAACAACTTGAACTACTATTTACCAAGAAAAAAAGACGAGGTTCATATTCTTAATTTCCTTATCCTAAAAATACAATAGCAATGGATTCTGATAGGTAATCTAAACATACTATAAATTGCACAGAGCTATGCATAATTATTTTACATTAAATACTTAAGCATGAATTATTAAAATAGCTATCATATTCTATGATGCACAATTATACATGCATTATTTACAGGAATCCGAATACTCACAAGAAGGACAAAACCAGTATGAAAATTAGCACAAAGGTAAGATTTCTTAAATTTTCTGATAAGATCAATAAAATCACATGAATTGAATTTTTTTTAGCTCAACTGAGCTATTTTAAGACCCAAGCGAGTTTTCTGATCAGTGTCTGGTATTCGTCTGTCATCTGTAAACTTTTCAAATTTTTACATTCATCAGAATTAATCCTAATTTGAAAAAAAAACCTTCAAGATACAACTTTTCTTTCAGAAATTGTGCCAGAAATGTTTGAAGTATCTATTGGAATGATCTGACAACATCGAACTTGCTGAGCCTTCCTTCTTAAAGTGACATGACCAGATATTTGGCTACCCAGTTTGAGATACGAACTAATCATTTGTTGTACGACTTGTTGTGTATGAGATTGCCACATTTACTGGAACTTTAAACCCCAGCTATCTACAGTGTAAGTTGTTAATATATTTTATTTTATGTTAAATCACTTGCTCATTATCCCAATAACTTGCATGTTAAATGCTGTAGATGCTAACCTTTGCATTTTCGTAAACTCTTAAATTCTATGTGTTTTGAGTATGGTGCGCCATTATGTACATCTGTTTCGTATCATGTTTTTTCGTCTCTAAATTTGATCTTGTACATATTATCATATGTTTTTGAAATAATTCGCTGAACTAGATCACAAAAGTTTAAGGATTTTATTATTGTATGAATGTTATCTACCTGCTCTAATCATAAATACATCTGTTTGTATATGTTTTCTATGAAATGCCATACCTGTTATTGATTTTTCATATTTTTTTTATCCATAGTATCTTTCTGCTAAATGAAATAAAATATTGTGGAGGAACACAGAGAAAAGGGCACCTCAACATGTTCAAGGTCAAGCAGGTAAACACAGTGGTAAAATGCTCAAAAAAAGATGGCAAAAAGTTACTAGTCCACAATTTACATGTACATCCACAAAATCTGTAGCTTGCTGGTCTGAAACTATAGATACGTATGTCTTAATATGTTAAATGCTTTAAATGCTATTATTTGCATTTTCGTAAATTTTGTAAATCTTCGAATTCCATGTGCTCTGAGTACGGTACCATTATGTATATTTCATATCATATTTTGTCGTCTGTAAATTTGATCTATACATATAATTATATGTTTTTTTAATGCAATTCTCTTAACTAGAGGACACAGAGAATTTTATCATTGTGTAAAATGTTATCTACTTGCTTTAGTCATCAGTACACCCTGTTTGTATATCTTTTCTCCTTTTTTGTATGTTCTTTCTATGGAGAGCCATACCTGTTATTAATTTTTCATATTTTGTTTCTTACAGCTTTTTACCATATCCATAGTATCTTGCTGCTAAATGAAAGAATTATTGTGGAGGAACAGAGAAAAGGGATCTCAACATGTTCAAGGTCAAGCAGGTAAGCATAGTGGTAAAATGCTCCAAATAAGATGGGGGAAAAATCATTAGTCTCCAATTTACATGTACATCAACACTAGCTTCAAAATTTGTAGCTCGCTGGTCTGAAATTATAGATAAATATTTTATTACCCAGACTTGAAAAAATGGCATATCTTTTATGGTCTTCTGTAAATGTCAAAGTTCTGATGTTAAGAGAACCACCTAGAATAAAGAAACATTATATGGAACAAAACTCGCAAACCCCTTTTTGTGTCGTACAATTGTTCCTTTTTAGAACTACATTGCAATCAATGTAATCACACACAAATGTAAACACATCACCCCATACATGTAATATTAAATAGACTGCCATATGCACTTTCTTTTAAAATCTAGATAGGTTCAAAAATATTTCAGTTGTCAATAATTAATCAAAATTGAGCTGTGTTTCCTCTAGGTCAGTTTACAATCAACCTAAATTTTGTGTACAAGTTACATGTAATATATGCATAAATCCAGAAGCACACATACAATATATATATAGGCAAATGGGTAATTATTTGTATGTTTGTTGTAGAAATTACGAGCTACATGTGCTTCTCCAGAGCATGAAAATGTCTTGGGATGAAGAGAAGAAAAAGCAAGAAGAAGCAGTTTTAAATATTGATTATGTCTTTATAGTACAAAAAATGATTCGAAAGATGATACTATCTATGAAATTAGAAAACTGAAGTGCCGTTCTGATGAATGTGAAAATGTTCTTAAAGAACAGGACACCAAAAGTGCCACTCTCAAATCAAAACACTCTAAAAGGCAGAGCTTAAGAAGAAGTAGGACAAATAAAGAATCTAAAAGAGTCAAACCTAATGATGTAGTGATTGAACAGAAATGGTCTATTAGAGATCAAATATCTAAGTTATTACTGTTTTGCACAAATGTGATGTTTTTTTTTACTTAACTTTAATTGACACATTCAATGTTAGATAAGAAAAATATACCTTAGTAGTGTTGTATTTTTGACAATTAAAGTTTTTTTCTGATACTTCATTACAGATTAAAACTGTTATATTTTTTATTGTTTAAACATTGATTGGTTTATCGTGTAGTATGCAATCACATACATTTTAATCTTGATTTATGAAATACATATACGTATACAAGTTTGACTTAAATAATAAGTGCATGGACATTTATTGTGGAAAAAAATAAGACAATCAAGGGTAGTCTTAAACATGTTAAAGAGCTTTGCTGGCAGTAAGTGGCAGATCTTGATACCCACGTAAGAGAAAGGTGGTGTCTCTGACTGATCCTTTTGCTCTTGCTTGTGGGCGAGTGAGGCTTCTCTGTCAGTGGCTTAGTTGTCATAGATGTAAAAAGTAGACTAAGCAGATGAGGTAGAGACATTTCTGAGTAAAAAAAGGGTGAATTGTGATTTTAATAAATATTATATTGCAAGAGTAATGAGAATTGAAAGAGTAAAATATTAATTTGTTTCCTTCCATATGAAGTAAAAGAGTTTATGACTAGAATTTTTTGCATTAAGATTAAACTGTAATTAAGGCTAAAAAAAATTGTTAAATATAATTGTACATCTGTGTATACAGGAAATTTTATATGTACATGTTTCCAAGCTCATTCTTGAAATTTTGAGGCAAAGTGTAGAAGATTAATGACTGAAAAAAAATATCACTATCAAAATTTCTTGCATTCCAATGTAAAATGAGGATATGTTAAAGTTATAATCATCAAGCAATAAACCTAGCAGTTGGAACAAACATGGGGTATTAGAGACAAATTATCAGCTGTTACTATTTTGTGTAATTGTGATGATGTTTCTTTAATTTGAATTGGCATAACCAAATGATATAAAAGATTTTTTTTGGTGTTGTATTTTACACAGTCAACATAATTAAAGTATTTACTGTACTAGGATAAAGATTTAAAAGCTGTCATATTTTTATTGATACCATATCGACTGGCTTATTGTATCACACACATGTACATACCTTTTTAATCTCTGATTTATTGCCATGTTTTTTCAAGTTGATAATTAGTGCATGGACATCTATTGTGGAAATACTTGGGAAACAATATAAGGGTAGTCTGAAAAGCTTTGCTGGCAGTAAGTTGCAGATCTTGATACCCAAGTAAGAGAAAGGTGGCGTCTCTGACCGATCCTTTTGCTCTTGCTTGTGGGCCAGTGAGGCTTCTCTGTCAGTGGCTTAGTGTGTCTTAATAGATGTACATGTAAAAAGAATGGGCATTTTTTATTGCCAACTTTTATTCTTCTGTGCAAAGTATGATATGATTTTTTGGGGGAAATTGAAAAACCATTTACAACCCATGCAGCAGTTTCAATAGGGGTAGTTTCAGTAACAGGTTTAGCAGTCTTTTGGAGTCAAGAATGACTGCATTTTTTTACCTGTTGTGTTCTGATTTATTGCAGATTTAAATTTTACATGCAATTCTATTTTTATAATTATTTTGTTATTGATTTGTTTGGACATGATGACCCATTGTTGTCAGGGTATCTTAAATTAATAAAATTTTAATTCCATATTAAGTGTTTTGTAAAATACAAAATTATTTCACTTACTTAAGTACTATTAAGTACCTACTACTATTATGCAAAAATTTGCTCCATTATAATTGAGCTACATTCATGATTGTAAATTTTTATATGCTGACATTTAGGCATTAATTTTGAAATATCTTATAATTTGTTAGAACTCATTGTTTGTACACAAATAACATAAAATAAAATTGAACAAGAAGTGGATTTGTGTATTGTAAAATACTTGTGAAAAACACAATTATAAACCATACGAAATAATGATGAAATAAGTATTAAATAAAAAAAATTGATATGCAATAATATCATTATATTAAATTTCATCTAATACAACCATAAATCTTAATGATATGGGAAGATTTAATCCATATATTTCATCACATATACAAGAGATTTAATATTAGTTTATGAAAGATTAAAACTTGAACATATTAGTAAGTTTACAATTCTCCGTATATAGCTTAATTTTTGGAAGTATTATAAAGTAAAGTGTGAATTAAACAAAAAATAATGAGGATAAGTTCTAGATTAAATTTTATTAAACGATCAAATTTAATATAACCATAAAACGTTTATTTTATGGGCATGTTTAATAATAATTATACGTTTTGTATACTCGAGGTATAATATTTGTTTACGGGAGACTTAAATCCGAACGTATTAGTAAGTTTACAATTTTCCAAACTTTATTAAATTTGTTCTTTTAATTTTCCATTAAACTCGTATTAAATGCTTATTATTTTCTAACGTTTACGATCCCACAATATGTTATACTATGCATTTAAACATTAAATAATCGCAGCATTTAAATTGCATTTAAGGTAAAAGTAAACCCGACTTTTCATGCAGTGTTGCTTATGTCTGAAAAAAGGTAATAAAAAACTGCTGTAGAATTTATGCATCACAATAAGGTAATTACTACTTGCAGTAAGAAACATTTTTTTCAAAATTATTTTGGATCATTGTTTTTTTTTTCTTCTGCTTAATCCCAAGACCTCTCACTGTAATAAAAATTAAATTTTGTTTTACAACAATTTATGTAATAAATCTATTAAGCGCCTTTAACATTGAAAAAAGTATTAATATCATATGCTTCAAATCTAACTTGTTGTATAAGAATTTGGATAAATGCTATACCCTTGCATGCGCCTTCTTTCATGGTGCAGCATCCCGAAATTTTGATTGTAATAAACCTTTGGGAGAAGCATTAATGTTTACATGATTTTATATAATTACTTATTTGATACCATAAGGATAGTTGTCCATTTATTTTATTTTCCTTTTTAAATAAAAAAAAGGATTACTTAAGTCTCTGTGATTGAATAATTTATATTTCTATTTCATTTTTCCTCTTTGAAAATTTATTCAAACTTAAAAATAAAAAAAAAGAATATGAGAAAATAATCAAGTAAATATTTCAAGGGTTACCAACTGGATTATGAATTATTCTAAAACATTAAATGGCATTAATCTCCCTTTACCATACGGTAACTTTTGAAGTAAAAATTGTGATCTTAGTTTCAATCAAAATATATATATATGTCGTGCAAAATCCTCAACGTGTCTGTGTTTTCTCAAAAAAATGTCAATAGATAAAGTGGTTTTCAGGTGGGATTGGGGAATCGACAAGGGATGCTTACTCTTCCTTGTCACATTATCCCACACTTAAAAACTTTGGGGGAGACGTGTTTTAGGCCCTGTATGATCAGAGATTTCAATTGTTTGTGGGATTTATTTTTCATCCAGGAATACCAGTTTCTGAATATGTATGTGGAAAAGAACATTTTTACAAACGGAATGGTAATGCACATGCCCATATGTAAAGCTTAATACAATGTGGTAATACCCATGCCGATATGTACAACTTCCTATCTAGAAGGTAAAATAAGTACACATACAGAATGTCAAACTGAGTAATACTAGTCTCCTACAAAAAATAAAAAAAAGAAATCCATTGTCTTCAGTTGTTTTCCAAGCAATATTAATGAAAAAAAAAAAAGAATGAATGAAACTTTCATGATTGCAGAAAGGTCCACACATTTCTTTTTAGATAAATTTTGAATACATTCAAATGTAGTCGGTTGTAAATATGATATTTAATGATAACATGGATTACAAATGTAATTAACTAAATTAACGACTGCAACTAAAAAGTAACCAGCATAGCATTAATCATCACAATTAATCATTTTTCATAGATTTCTTCTGAGCATCAACTGAGAGATGTCATAGCCATTAAGATTACACTATATATACTTAGATATTTTTCCAACTAACGCGAAAAAGTAAAGCATTTTTTTTTTACATTTTCTTTGTCAATGAATAGAGCTACGAATCTTTCTTTTTCTTTTTTATTACCAAGAATAAGTTCTCTGACTTACAACATTATCATGCATAGGTTATCAAAACTTACGAAGCTCTACTCGACAAATTTTATCAGTTTAAGTA